CGAGCTAAAGATATTCAAACAAAGGAATGGCAAGTTAGCAGCTTTTTCTCAATTAGAGCCAGATAAATGTCCCTCAATTAAGAGTAGATGAGAGGATCCCCCCTTTCCTTATGTTTTGCAGTTTAATTCCTTAAATTCAGAGTTTCCAGAGAGATAAAATATATGAATGTCCAAATTTTTGGAAAATAAGCTACCAAGAGTGATTCATAGAATGCTGAAGAGAAACCCAAGAAAGGTCCCCCTTTCTACCACTATTCCACTGGCACAGGTCAGGGCTGTAAAAAAGTATTCCTACTCTTGTGGAGCAAAGTAACACGGCACTGTTTAAAATCAGGACAATATGTGTCAGAGACGTATCCTTTTTCCATACTTATTCTGTACTCTGACCAAATAATTCATGAAGCTAGACTCTGTGAAGAGGAATGTGGCATCAAGATTGAAGGAAGGCTCATCAATAACCTAAATTATGCAGATGACAAAACCTTGTTTGCTGAAAATTGAGGAGGACTTGAAATACTGGCTGCAGAAGCTCAAGAACTACAGCCTTCTGTGTGGATTACATTTCAACATCAAGAAAACAAAGGTCCTTACTATAGGGCCAACAGACATCATGATATATGGAGAAAAGATTGAAGCTGACAATTTCATCTTGCTTGGATCAATAATAAACATCTTTGGTACCAGCAATCAGGAAAGCACTGCATTGGGTAAGTCTGCTGTCAGGGACCTCTCCAAAATATTTAAGAGCAATGATGTCAGTTTGATGACTAAGGTGCATCTGATTTAGGCCAGAGTCTTTTCAATTACCTGCTATGCATCTAAGAGTTGGATAATGAAGAAGGATGATAGAAGAAGAGTAATGAGTATCCCGTGGACTGTCAAAAGAACAAAAAGATATGTCTTGGGTAAAGTGCAGCCAAGAGTGATTCTTGGAGGCAAAGATGATGAAACTTTATCTCTCATACTTTTGATATATTGCTAGGAGAGGTTATTCCTTAAAAAGGGATATCATATTTGGAAAGAGAAGAAGACCCCCCAATGAAATAGATGGACACAATGACTGCAGTAATGGGTACAAGTTTGTCAGAGATGATGAGGATGGCACAAGATAGAACAGGGTTCAGGTCAATTATTCATACAGTTTCTACAAGTCAGACTTGCCTCAAGGGCACCTAAGAACAACAACTCTGGTGATGTAATTTGTAAGGACTTGGGCTGCTAATCCAAAGGCAGTGTCTCTATGGGAGAAAAAAAAAAGTCAGTCTCTGTCCTTCAGATCTACAGCCTTCAGAAACTTGCTCAAGGGTGAGCTATGTGTCCGTTCCAATCCAATGGCAATGAATTCCTTTTACCTTTGAGTTTTATTCATCACATGCCTTGGTTTCTTTATTCTTACTGGAATATCCATAAGGTTGAGTGTTTTTGTTAACTAATGATGTTAGTCTGGAGGCTAGGGTCTGCCTGATTCAGGCCATGGATGTTGCAATTACTTGCTATGCATCACAGAGCTGGACAATGACCAAAGGATGACAGAAGAAGAATTGATGCCTTTGATTTCTGGTGCTGGAGAAGAGTACTGAACATACCATGGACTACCAAGAGAACAAACAGACTTACCCTGGAGAGGGTGAAAACAGGCTGCTCCTTGGATGCAAGGATTTTGAAGCTCCATCTCACATACTTTGAGCATATGTCCAGGATGGACCTAGAGAAGGACATCATGCTTGGAAAGGTAGAGGGACGGCACAGGAGAGGAAGACCCCGGCTGAGATGGACTGAAACAGTAACTGGGATAATGGGGTAGGTGTGTATAAGATAGGCTGTCTCCGGACAGAGCCAAATTCAGAGCTATTGTATATAGGGTCATGATGAGCCTTAGGCTACTCGATGGCACACAACAACCACAACAGCAATAACTGAAATGGCTAGGATTGAGTAGGAGATCTAGTGGCACAGTCCATAGTTAGTTGTGATGTTAGCTCAAAGGCCACACATCTCCAGTGGTTCAAATCCACCAGTGGCTTCAAGAAAGAAAGATTAGAAGTCTCCTCTCTGTATGATTTACAGTCTCAGAAACTTGATAGAAGGTTGTTAAGAATTGGAACTAACTCAACAGTAGTGCGTCTGAGTTTGAGGACTATGTTCTAAAAGCTTAGAAATGGGGGTTTGGAATCAAGAGAATAGTATAATCTATGCTCTTTTGATGACCTTTGAGGTTGTATTCCAACCTTAATCCATCCAACTATCCACAAACTCCTATTATGGGCTCTTGACAAGCACTGAGCCCAAACAAACAAAATTTTACACTCAATCATACAATTAACTATGGCATCTCCAATTAGACCCAACCAATGTACAGGAATTCTAGTTATCCTTTTCCTCAAAACTTCCTTATTTCTAAGTTTTCCCATCTCAGAAAGTAACTTTGCCCATCCACTCAATTGTTCACCCGACAGCATCTAACTGCTGAATGAACGAATTATCAGAAATTAATAAAATTCCTATATAAATAAGGTGTTGTTGCTATGTGCCATTGAGTCACCTGTGACTCATAGTGACTGTATGTACAACAGCCCTAAACCCTGCTCTATCCCTTGACAATCTTATTGTCTCTGACATACCTATGCCCATTTCCCCAGTAAATCAATCCATCTCATTGAGGGTCTTCCTCTTCTGCACTGTCCCTCCACCCTCTCAAGCATGATGTCCCTCTCCAAGGACTGATCCCGCCCTGCAACATGTCCAAAGTATGTCAAACGGCTCTTCAGAATCCTTGGCTCCAAGGAGCAGCCTGGCTTCACCCTCTCCAGGACAAACTTGTTTGTCCTAGCAGTCCATGGTATATTCAATACTCTCCTCCAGAACCAAAGCTCAAAGGCATCAACTCTCCTTCTATCATCCCTAGATATTGTCCAGCTCTCTGATGCATAGCAAATAACTGCAAAGACCATGACCTGTATCAGGCACACCTAAGTCTCCAGATTGACATCATTGCTCTTCAGTACTTGGGAGAGGTCTCTGAGAGCAGACTTTCCCAAAGCAATTTTTCTTTTAATTTCCTGGCTGCTGGTACCAAGAGCGTTGACTGCAAACTGAAGCTGTCAACAATCATCCATTATGATGTTGCCAGTCAGTTTGTTTTCTTGATGTTGAGCTTCAATACATATTGAAGACTACAGTCCTTCAAATAAGTCTTTATAAATAAGTACAAAATTAAAACTTTTTTTTCTCTGTCTGGCAAACAGCCAGGGAGCTTGTAGGAAAGTTGGAAATAATTAAGGTTTCATACAGTGGGTGGTGAATTTTAGGTCTCTGAGTTAAAACCCACAAGCCAAAAAGTTAAATGGTTCTGACCATTACTTATTCTTGAAATTGTGTTATTGGCTTTAAAATAGACCAAAAGAATTGTTTCAATTAATATGGTACAGTGTTCTTTGCTAGCAGGAAAAAACACTTTGGTGCAGTACCCTGCATTTGAGGGAATACTTTCTAGCATTCCTAGGAATGTAACATTCCTAATATTCCTGGAATGTAGTATTCCTTCAATTAGTTTCAATTGTATTGAACAATACAAAATGATACACTTGACGTTTCCAGCCTATCACACAAAAATGTGACAACTCCACTGTCAAGAGCACCCACCAAGGAGACCTTGAAGGATGTCCTCCGTTGCTCAATGAAAAGTGATGAGTCACTGTTTGATTAAGCACTGGTGATGACCAACAGAGAGCACACTGCCTATGGGAAGAGAGGGATTCACGCGAATGAAGATCAGGTAGATTAAGGTGATTATAAAGAAATTGGTGGTGTTGTTAAGTGCCGATGAGTCGCTTGCAACTCATAGCGACCCTATGTACAACAGCCCTAAACTCTGCTCTGTCCTGTGCCAATCTCACTGTCTCTGACACGCCCATCCCGATTATCCCAGTCACTGAATCAATCCACCTCATAGAGGGTCTCCCCTCCTGCGCTGTCCCTCCACCCTCCCAAGCATGACATCCTTCTCCAAAGACCGGATTTCAACAGCATGAAAGAATCACTTCCTTCACTGATATTAAG